GAAATATCTAATCATGTTTTAAGTGGCAAACGAGAAAAGCTTTCATTTAAAAGTTTTAATAATCCTATTGATAAAGAAATTCAACAAGAATTTATTAAAATTATTAACAAAAGTAAGTATATTTTAAATAAAGTTTATTTTATTTATTTATTTATTTTTTATACTGACTTTATTTTGTTTAATTAACAAATAGTATGGCATCATAAACCACATCAACGAATATCTATTACGAGTTTACATTTAACACTTGAAAAATTAGTTGCAAACTTTCCAGCACCTGAAATATCGACAATTCATTTGCAAGATAAAGCATCAAAAGTTGAAAAATCGATGGAAGTGGATAGTCCATCAGTTGATTTTTTAATACCACTTGAAAAAGGAATTGAACTTCATAAAAGTAGAGATCACAAAGCGGCTTTAAAATGTTTCGAAGAAAATTCTAGACTTGGCGATCCAATTGCCAAATATTGGTTAGGATATTATTTAACATATGGATATGATGTTATAGAAATAAATAAAGAGAAAGCAAAAAAACTTTTTAAAGAAGCTGCTGATAATGATCATTCTGATGCACAATGTCGGTATGCTGTTGCATTACTTTCGGATCTTAAAAAAGAAGATCCTGAACCTAAAAAAGAAGAGAACAGAATTGAAATTTTACACTATTTTAAATTAGCTGCTAATAATAAAAACGTTAATGCAATGTATTACTTGGCTGATATTTATATTAACGGAAAACTTAGAGTACAATCAGATAAGGAGCTTGGAATGAAGTATTTAAAACTATCCGCAGATAATGGTTATGAAAAAGCAGCTAATTTATTAAGACAATTGACTACTGCAAAGATTGATGCTAAAGATGATAAGAATGATACTAAAAATGATGCAAAGAATGATGTTAAGGTCGAAGTTGTAGATGGAGATAAGAATAAAGTAACGAATGATGAAGTTATGAATGATAAAGTTGTGAATGAAGTCAAGAACGAGGTTATCAATAAGGATAAGAATGAATTTACGAACAAAGATAAAAGTGAAGTTATGAATGAAAATAAAGATGAGGTTATGAATGAAAATAAAGATGAGGTTATGAATGAAGATAAAGATGAGGTTATGAATGAAAATAAAGATGAGGTTATGAACAACGATAATAGCGAAGTTATGAATAAAGATAAAGACGAGGTTATGAATAAAGATAAAAGTGAAGCCATGAATGAAGATAAAAGTGAAGTCATAAACGAAGACAAAAATGAAGTTATGAACCAAGATAAAAGTGAAGATATGAGTGAAGATAAAGATGAGGTTATGAATGAAAATAAAAATGAAGTCATAAACAAAGACAAAAATGAAGTTATGAACGAAGATAAAAATGAAGTTATGAACAAAGATAAAGATGAGGTTATGAACGAAGATAAAGATGAGGTTATGAACGAAGATAAAGATGAGGTTATGAACGAAGATAAAGATGAGGTTATGAATGAAGAAAAAGAAATTATGAATGAAGATAAAGATGAGATTATGAATAAAGGCAAAGAGGAAGTTATGAATAAAGATAAAGAAGAAGTTATGAATAAAGATGAGATTATGAATGAAAATAAAGATGAGGTTATGAACGAAGATATAGATGAAGACATGGTTGTTGTTATGAGAGAATCAAGTGAAAATAAAGACGAAAATAAAGACGAAAATACAAGTTACACTAATTATTTTAAATGCATTCTGAGGTAACGACCTAGCATCACCTATAAAAATGTCGCTGACATTAGCATTGAAATTATATATCAAAAATTCATTAATATCTTCGAAACCAATAATAGCTAATTCACTCTTTTGGTCGTATTCTTGGTTTACTTCGTCGAAGTTCTCTTTCAATTAATTCGAGGTATTGGTTTGAAATAAAGTATACGGACAACCTTCCTGAATACATCCTTTTGGGACTAGCTACAAGCGTAAACTTAAGGATTCACTTATGGGAGTAATTATATCAATTAAAAATTAATTATTTGCATGGTGTATTTTTACATGATTTACAGCTAAGGCCACACAAATTTAATATATTAGTTTTCATAACATGAAACTTTTAAACAGACCCGGCCGGCCGGCTTTTTTTTTTTAAATTTCATATATAAAAATTTATAAAATTTTTTTAAAAAAATTTTAAAATACCCACCCGGTTATTAAAACATACAAAAATTTTTTTTTACAAATTTTCAAATTTTGACCCGGCCGGGTTATGAAAACCAATTAATTAAGTTTGCATGGCCTAATAGAATTTTATAGCGTTTTTTCAAAGTCATCTTCTTTTACAAATTTAAAGGTTAAACAGAAGATGTCACAGAAATTTAGCTTGCATTTATAGGTATGAATTCAGAGAGAATGTCTTTTAAAAAATGCAATGTAATATAGTTTAGTATAAAATTCAACACTTAGCTTTGTTAACTTGATAATTGGAAATAATAAAACAGCTTATGATATTAGGGTAGTCTATAATTGATAATTTATTCATAATTTATTTATTAATTTATTGTACTACGTATATACTATTTTATATTAAGTCAAATTATTCTAAATTATTATATATATCATTATTATTATTGGGAATTTGTTAACGTAGTATATAATTTAGTGTAAAATATAATTTTGAAATTTGTATAATAAAACGAATATTATGTATGTATGTACATATTTATATTCTATTATAATAGAGTATGTTCTTACAACAAATAATTTTTAATTGAAAACTAAATTTATTGCACTTTAATCAAGCTTACATCAGTTTTTTTTTTACAACTATTTTAGTTTTTTACAAATTTATATCGGGAGTTTTTTTTTTACAATTTAATATTTTAATTCATATTTTAATATGCAGAACTATTATTTTTGAACCAAATTTACAAAATAATAACAAGTGATTCTATTACGCGTAATTTGGAAATTTTTAAGGTTTTTGAATCATGCAATCTAATTGGCCTGGGTCTGTTACTGCTGGTAACAAATAGATTTATCCTATTAAAAAATTGAAATACGTATATAAGGTAGATGACTTTGTATATTAATTAGTATAACCTTAATATATTGAGTAATATTTTTTTTTCTTAATCTTCAAAGGTGAGGTATATTGAGTAATATTTCATATCTATCTATATATTAAAAAAATTAAAATATGTATAGTAAATAAACATTGCTAGGATTTAGTATATATCTAATATTTTTCATATCCCAATAAGATTCTATATAACTGATAATAGCTCTTGCATATTCACATAAAAAATTATCCAGGGTGATATCTAAAAGATCTGCTATATAGACTTATAGTACATTAGCCAAGGTTAATATAGTAGTGTATATATTACAGTATAGATTATAATCACTATTTAAAAAGATCATGCTATAACAAGTTACTAATATACATAATACTAAATAATTGATGAAAAACACATTTCTTGAATATATATTAGGATTGTGCACAAATTGCTTAAACTACAAATCCGATTTCAAGATCAGGTACAATATAACACAAATATCTGTTTTGTCAAGCATTGTTTATCTCTTACTCTTCGTGTACTAATAAAAGTATTCCTTATTATAATAAAAGTTCTAACAAACTTTAAAGAATTTTGACTACATCACAAACCCGGTACACATTCAAGAATGCATGAAAAACTATAAATGATATTACGGCACTTTTAGGGCGGCGCCCTGAATGATTCTGCGTAATATATATGTATACGATATTTATTTCTTATCAAATAGCTGCAGTTTTACAATGAGCTCTAATATTTTATTTTCTTATATAGTAAAATCTATCCTATTTATAACTTAACAGCCTGTTAGCGTAAGTGATGGGTTACATACTGGTAAACTTTAAAATTTGGTATGTTGGCCTTAAAAATTCGGGTCAGATTCAGGTCGGGTCGGGTCGGGTTCAGTTCGGGTTGAAGCACCAACCTGAAAATTTTCAACCCGACCCGAACTGAAATTTCGGGTCGGATTCGGATTGGCCTATAACCTGACCCGACCCGACCTGTTCAGAGCACTAGCATTAATTTAAATTTAATAAACTATGCCAAACTTTCAAGTAATCACTTTAACATTAAAAAAAAAACTAAATATATGATTTTTTTTAATTAATAAGCCTCTTTGGCTTAAGGTTTTTATTCAAGTATTTAGATAGAAAGGCTTATTATGAAACCCCTTATATTAAAAAGTATAATTAGCTATATATACAACTTTTAGTTGCCTATTTAAATAATCTATATATTAGTATTACACTATAGGTTCTATACTAGCTGCTATACCTACAACTCAACTAAAGGATTATCTATTTAAACACTTTATAACACAACCTAACTTGTGTCACCAATACATCTCCACCACAATTACCAGTTAAAAGAAGTCCTAGATGCTTTCTCTATATCCTTAGAACTAATTTATTCTAAAAATTTAATTTACAATAAATTTTGTAAAAAATTTTTTTGATAATCCTTAATTATGATTAACTGATTTTGGGTCAAACAAATCAACTAATATGATCATTTGCCTAATAGTTCTTCTTCTTGACTTTACTTATTTGTACTAGTAATACAAACTTCTAAAAAAGAAATAGATGTTCTATAAAATAGGTGGGCAAACTCTGCAAACTCTGCAACTCCACTATTAAAATTAATGATTACTAATTATTAGCGAAGCTTATTTCTTATATTGACCACTTATTCTATAGAATATCCAAAGAAATAGCCAATCAGTGAATTCAAATTTGATCATTTCAGATCAACCCAACATAAATTCCGAACACTTGTAAAAGATGAAAAAATTGAAAATATTCAAAAACTAGTGTTTAAATCGACCTTGGTTTACTAATTAAAAATGTTGGGATGAGATTTTACATATAATAAGCAACAGTCTATGGATATAGCTTTTAATGTTAACGTTCTAACCTCATGGTCAGACATTCGTTTGATTGGCTAATGTAAATCAATTGCCCGGGTAACTTATTTATACACTTTAAAG